TTATTTTGGCGGGTCAAACTGATGCCACACTATATAAGTTCCGGGTGGGAGGTGAACTCGGACCCCCCTCCACTGCTATTGCTGCTGTCACTGTGGCTAGCTGCGTGAGCTTGTCGTCTTCCAAACACACGGGAGAATACGGCTGGATCGAGCCAAATTAACACGACCGAGAGCTTAAATTGGGTGTTAACTGGCAACCACTCGACGGTGAGTCGTTCATTTTACGTACTTTGTTTTTTTTAATATAATAGAAATGCGGTGGCGACACGCCCACTCAATTTATGTATTTTGTGACTCAAAAATGGTCTTATTAACTAAAAGATCATTCTCTTTTTGTTACTTTTGTGGCCGAATAGAAGACATACCCTCAAAGTATTAAATAAGCCCTTTGATTTTTTTAATTTGTCCTTTTAGGATAGTTTTAGTTACTTTTTCTTGATTTTGGTGACGGCCGATGGAAATTAACCAGTTCCAGAGTTCCAAGTAGGTATCTCTGCAGCCAAATTCGGAAGGCGTATCTGGGCGGTCATATCTGATTGGACTATAGGAAAATGGGCGTATCTGGGCGATCATATCTGATTGGATTATATGAAAATAGGCGTGTCTGGCCGGCCGCACCTGATTGGACGATAGAAAAATAGGCGTGTCTTGCCGGCCATATTTGATTGGACGATAGAAAAATGGGCGTGTCTGGCCAGCCACATCTGATTGGACGATAGAAAAAAAGGCTGAACGATAAAATGCCGTAACCACAGACACATTATGTCTAAAAACAAGGCGTTATTGTCAGATTGTGTTAACCACAGGCATATTATGTCTATGGTGTTAACCGGTTCGACATTAGCGGCGTCTCAGATTCAACACTGGCGGCGTCTCGGTTCGACATTGCTCCAGTATACTGCCGCGGCGTCTCCATAACTTCTTTTTTCGACTCTCTTAACACAGAACTTCCGGTTACATTTCAAAATAAGAGCAACATAACTGGGTAGTGGGGGAGCTAAATGTTAGTTTTTTTTTAATACCTAGCCATAACATTAAAAAACAAATTCCATTTTGGTTGTTGAAAAATGTGAACAAAGTTACAATCGATTCATAAAGAAAGAAAAATATTAATGATACTTAAACTGGCCTTGGGACAAAGGATATTTCCTTTAACTTCACATTTTCTTGTTCAACTTGCAGTCACTACAGATGAGTGATTTGTCAGTTTCTGTAAGATTTCTGCAACTGGAGCAGGTATTTCTGTTTACTGGTTAACTTCCTCAGCCGTCTCACATTTTAAAGGTCAACCCTACTCCATGTTTCAGTAGAAAACAAGCACATTTAGGAGTCAGTACATACCCAGACTTTTGGCCCTCACACCTGTACCCAGTTGCTTATGCTGCATGACGAGATCAGATTTATCCATATTTTAGAAATTACATTTAGCTTAGTCGACAAAACAATACAAATGAAGACCGTCTTAAAAAAACCTCTTGGTTTTGCAGTAAGCAGCCTGACTTCAAACTGACATCTTGGCCAAAGGTAAAATAAAAATCTTTGTGTTCTCAGAAAAGTTGTGTGAGAGTTCCACTACCTGCAGCTCCTCCTCTAATTGGCTGCTGATTGCCACCAGCTGGCAGCCATCCATCTGAAGAGCTCCTGCTACTATTTAAGGCTGCAGTCCAGTGTGACTCATCGCTGGAGCATTGTACCCTATTCGGTATTTATGCTTTTGGCCATTATATGAAAAATATATGAGAAGTACTTACCTTTGTTTCTGTGTCTACAGTCCTCCTGTTTTCTTGGCTCTCGTTTGGATTCAGAGTTCCATGGTCCTGGTTCATGTTCTCCGTGCCTCGCCTTCCAGCCACACGCCTGTCCTTCCAGTAGTGTCCCGCCTTCCCTTTGGATCAACCCTGGTGACTAAACGTCCTCGCCAAACTCTTACTTCACCATCTGTAAGGAAAAACAAAACAAAGAAATTAAGAACTGCAACTGGACTCTACTTACTCAGCTCTCTCTTCCAGGATCTTCCAAAGATGACCCACTGTAAATAGACACTGTATATAATAAACATCACTACGTTTTCTAACCAAGTCTTGTCTTTTCTGGTTTCGCTCCATCTGGGTTCCTCGAGTCTTGACAAGTTGTTTCAGGACCTCCAATAAACTTATGTACACATCAAAGCATACAAGACAGATTCAGGAATTCTCTTTGTTTTCCAGATTTCACATTTGTTATTACCTTAAAACATACTCAGACAATATTTGATGCATCATTTAATTTTTTTATTGTGTTTATTGGGACATCCATTTTTAGAAGTCATCGTAGCATCTGTTGGAAACACAGAACATAGTACAGTTAGGGTGTTGCTAGTTGTTACTTAATCCTGGATTGGATTTTAAAGTTAATTTTGATATTTTTTTCACAAGGAAAAAAAAAAGTTGATTTCCTAAAGTTTAACTATAAATGAAGGAATTTGTGCATTCAGGTAATTGAAAATTAAGTAATTTCACTAACATCCAACCCATTTTAGCCACTGAGCCATACCAAACACCCATAATCTATTCTTGAATGAATTATTGACTATTATTGACAAATTACAGACTTTTTATTGAATAAGTTATTACTCATTATTGAATCATTGACAATTTACACTCATGTTTGTGTTAACTCATGTTGCAACAAGGTCAGCAACTTTTGACTATTACTATGAACTACGTTAAACTTTGGAGGCGATTTATTTTGAAAGTCAACATCAGATGTTGGTCAACATTGTTGAGCAATATCTTGGGGTCTTCTAGAGTTAACCTGAAGTGAGAGTGGTCCCTGACATGGCAGAAAGACGTAGATATAATTAACAGCTTTTATTTATTTATTTTTCAGCCAATAACAACTTTTATTTATTTGTTTTTCATATTTTTCAGTTATACACAGCTTTTAAATATTTATTTTTCAAGTATTAAGAACTTTTATTTTCAGCTTTTATTTTGAAAAGCAACACCCAGTTGTTGTAAACGTGCACAGTGAGAGCTGCTGTGGAGGCTCACTTTACCTCTGTGCGTTACGACAACAACGAGAGAACGGTCGAAACTATCGTGACCTACAATAAACGTACTTCAATAAAATGCATAAGTGAAAACATAACATACTTTATAAGTACAATAAATCATATTTCTTTGTCAAACATCGCAAAGAAACGTTACCTCATCAATAATCCTCGTGACTTTGAGGGTTACCCACAGCCAATCAGTGTTCGCCGCCGACAAACGCCTATTAAATACTGTTAGCCAATCAGTGTTCGCCGCCCATAAACGCCTATTCGCCAGAAACGCCCACTTTTGGTCTGCAGAGAACCCCTTCTCCCTGGCAACACCGACGCTATGTTTCATGCACCATACCATAAATCCCGCCCACTCCCATCTTATTGTGCAAAATAAAATCCTTGTCCAATACAAAACAAAACTAAAAAAGATTGACAGCACAACTCAAAAAGTAGGTTGCAAATCTGCCACATGGAACCAATGTACACCTTAAACAAACTTATGTGACGTTCAAGGAACATCGTACAAATTACAAATTGCTCTCTAGTTTCTGGTTTGAAAACCACATAACTGATCACTCTTGAAACTTTTCTTCATCCTACCTGGACTCTCTTCTTCACCTCTTTACCACAGTCACAGTTTTCCTACACAGTTTACTCTTGGTACTTTAAGTCCTGTGCTTCTCCTCTGTCTGAGGAAATTGTGCCATCTTTGTATTTTTTATTGATTCAGCTTCTAAAATGGGAACAGAATAGCTGTAGTTTTGATGGATTGCTGTCAACAAAGAGCATAGTAAAAATACCAAACATAAAAAACTATTAAGTTAGGTAAGATACTGGAATTAAAATAAACTAAACCTCACAAGACAGAACTCAGACTCAAAGAACAAATCAAAGCAAACCCCACCTTGCTTAAACTGAAGTATTTTTGGTTATTTTTTTCAGTTGACTGCACCTTGTCTATGTTGCAACATTTATTTACTTGAACAAACAAACATTAGTTTTTTTTCCCTCACAGTTTGTCAATTTTGGTTGTCACCATAACATATCGTGCAATTTTATGTAGTTTCCAGCTTCACAATAACTGCTCAAATTACTGTGTTAGCAACAAGTTCACGCAGACCTTTCTGACAACACTGTGGTTTACTTTATTACCTTGGACAAGTTGTTGTGGAGGAGTTGAGGCACGTATTGCACTTAAACTATTTGCCCGGAGGTCCAGAGCTCTGAAAAAATATCTTGGAAATGTGATAATAAGGAGGGTCTATGTGACATGACATTACCTGTAAAAGAGAAAAAAAGATGTTTACTCCATGTTTACTCCGCCTACCTCAGGATGATATAAAGATGCTCAGTCAGCTCTGAATGCTCACATCCTTTTCTTCTGCTCACTGACTGACTGCTGTTCAACACTCGAGGCTGTGAGTATTCATATCTTATTGTGCAGAATAGTTGAATCTGGTGCTGTTGATGTGGTTTATAAAAATCATATTCTGTTTCTCCAACAAATTCAATCTCAATTATTTTTTCTTTCTTGTATTCTTTAGAAAAATGAGCAGAAACTATCTGTCCAGAAATAGTGAGCTCCGTAGGGGAGACAGTCTTGTGTCCAACAATGGACAGTGGAAGGCCGTCTTCCAGGTGATCACACTTTCTCTCAGTTCAAAAATTTATTAAAACTTGTTCACCTCAGTGGTGTGAGTTCATTTTATCTGTATGATTGTTGATAGCAGCTGAATGTTCTTGTTTTTTAATGCAGGATGATGGAAACTTTGTCATCTATGGCTGGAAGCCCGTGTGGTCCGCAGACACTAACACTACAGACGCCGTCCGCCTGTGCATGCAGGACGACTGCAACCTGGTCATGTACAACCAAGAAGATCGCCCTCGATGGCAGACCAACACTCACAAGGATCGCTGTACCACGTGCAATCTACAACTGACCGATGACGGCAAACTGCTTATCTTCAATCATGGCCAACAAGTCTGGAGCTCTGACTCTTCCAAAGGCATGAAGTGAAAAATATGATGATACAAAGTTTTCAGTGGGTTTTATGCTTTATAAAGCATTTTTGGCAGTAATCTCTTGGTTTAGACCCAAATCTAAATTTGTTTTGAAACTATTATACAAGTTGTAAAATTGAAAACAGAAATAAACCTTAAAACATGTTTATTCCTCTTGGTTTTTTGTCATGAGTTATCCATTATCTCTCGCTTTTCTCCTCTCCTCTTTGCTTCTGTAATTTAGAAATATCCTGATGCATGCTGAATAATCCAGGTAGAAAAAAAAAAAATTAAATCTGGTTCTCTGGACATTCAAAAAAACAAAAAACAAACAAGCAGTAAAATAAATTGTAGAAACATTTTGTCTTTTGTAACGCTAATTAAGGCTAGGCGCCTGACTATGGCCAGTATAGTTATAGGCAATCAGAAAGGCTCGGCTGAGGAGCTCGTGTGTGTGAATAAAACACAGTCAGACAGAAAGTAAAGTTAACTTATTGTATTTAAAGTTGTACATTTATGTAGATTTAGTTAGATATCTTATGATAATAATAATAATAATAATAATAATAATAATAATAATAATAATAATAATAATAATAATAATAATTTCCAATAAACATAAGCAAATAAACACAGCAAGGAAAAAACACAAAACAATAGCAGGACAGAATAAATAAACCCCGATGACACCCAAGAGTTTTTTTTCTATTTTCTTTAAGTCCGTTCTGGAGTCTAGAGTGACTATTGTCCATCAATCAATACTCCACAGTTTTAAATCCATGATCCAGGGCAATATGTCCAGAAAAAAAATAGTTGGTGTGATTCAGTCCTACCGCGAAGCTGCGGTGATCTGGTAGCTCGCCATCCTGGGTGGGAACGGGGGTAAAAAAAAAAAACCTGACCTAGACAAGGTCATAAATAAAACAAAAATTGGCATTTACATTTGAACAGGGTTAAACTGTTAAAAAAAATTAAACATTCATAAAAGAACAAATAGCTACATTCCATCAAGCATTTCTCAGGAAACATTTGAATTAATTTCAAATTAAAGATTACATTACTGTTACAGTACAGTTACAGATCAAAGTTAAAGTGCACTTTCAAGTAGTATCTAAGTTTAATTGACATCAGAGTCAATTAAACTTAATTGAAGTAACTAAAACTATCCTAAAAGGACAAATTTACAAAAATCAAAGGGCTTATTTAATACTTTGAGGGTATGTCTTCTATTCGGCCACAAAAGTAACAAAAAGAGAATGATCTTTTAGTTAATAAGACCATTTTTGAGTCACAAAATACATAAATTGAGTGGGCGTGTCGCCACCGCATTTCTATTATATAAAAAAAAAAAACAAAGTACGTAAAATGAACGACTCACCGTCGAGTGGTTGCCAGTTAACACCCAATTTAAGCTCTCGGTCGTGTTAATTTGGCTCGATCCAGCCGTATTCTCCCGTGTGTTTAGAAGACGACAAGCTCACGCAGCTAGCCACAGTGACAGCAGCAATAGCAGTGGAGGGGGGTCCGAGTTCACCTCTCACCCAGAACTTATATAGTGTGGCATCAGTTTGACCCGCCAAAATAAAATACGGGTTAATTATCTTGTGCAGGTTACACTTTCATCCGAAAGACTTCCTCAGTCTGAGGTGGTTTATTCAGCTCAGTCTTATAAATAGCACCTTCTCAGAGTGGATCAACCAGTTCTATTTCGTATAGGCTTCGCCCTTTAAGGCTATCGCCAGTGGGTTTATCCCTTTGCGCGCAGCACTGAAAACTTTAGTCCACGCGCACCTGCTGTGTGGGCCTCACCCCGGTCCATATAAATTACGGTGAGACCGGGGAATCGACTCCCAATTTTTCTTCAGCCAGCTAGCTAGCACTGTCAGAAAAACGAAGAAGGAAAAGTTGTCCAGCTTTAACTGGCACAACCTTTGCTAAGGATGCCTGGGTCTCCGCCACGCCAACCTCCTGCCATCCCGGTGAGCTCTTCCTCCCCAAGGAGAAGCAGAGACGAGCAGCCTTGTTCAAGGTAAGCACCAAGGAGTGCTTTTCCGTGGGGGCGCTACCCGCTGGACGACGGCATCACCTTTTCTAACATTTTTTCCTCGCGATGAATCAGATGATTCCCTCGAAAAAGGCGTTGTTGGCAGCAGCTCCGCTGAGTGTTTGTCCGTGGCAGGCCGCTACTTGCTGGACGACACCATCGCCTTTTCTAACGTTTTTTCCTTGTGGTGAATCGGATGATTCCCTCAAAAAAGGCGATGCAGGCAGCTACGCGTGGGACGATGCCACCACCTTTCTTTGACGCAGAGTCACGCAGTGAATCGGATGACTCCTCTGAGAAAGGCGATGCTGGAAACAACCTTGCTGCCCCTTCCCTCCTGGAGAGCGTAGTGATGGAAGAAGAGCAGTCGAACGGATGCTCAGTCACCTCGGGTCTTCCCACGTCGGCGACCACACCACTTCCAGCCGTTGGCACCCTCCTCTCGGAGTTGCCCGGCATAATCCAGGAGGCAGCTAACACAAGGGATTTTCTGTCCCTCGCCTCCCTCCGCCCTGATCGGATGATCTGGCGGGAAGGTTTGGCTCTGCCCCGGCTCGTTGCTCTGATTCCATCTGGCCTCGCTGTCCAGCTGTGACGTTACATTGGAACGAGGCTGCAGCTGGGCCCGGCAAGCTGAAGACATCCGTCTCCACCTTCATCTCCATCTCCAGAGTGGAGGGTTTTTAATGATCTGTGTTTTTTTCTCTCGGTTCTTCCCCCTGGAGCCAAGCCTGGTGGAGGCGCTTGGGGCAAAAGCATCCAGGATGGACCGGCAACCTATCCCTCCCGGAAAGCATGACCAGAGGGTGACAAAGCTCTCCAACCGAGCTCACCAGTGCACATCCCAGGTGGTCGCAGCAAACAACAACATTGCTCTGCTGGCCTACAGCATCTCAAAGAGGCTGGAAGAAGCAGACCTGCTGGAGGAGACAAAGAGCTCTCTCTGTAAAGCCGCTGATGTCATCTTAAACATGTGCGCCACCTCTGCGGTCTGCCTGTCCCGCATCGCCATCCGGATGACCATGATCCAGAGGACCACCTGGCTCCGCCTCTCGCCATCCTTGTCTGAGAGGCTGCAGAAAGACCTGCTGGAAGGCCCCATCACCCCAGAGGTGCTGGTCGGGGCCAACTTCAGGACCATCCTTGAGAAATCGCAGAGGTCCGAGGAGGTCTCAGAGACTGTACACCATCTGGTGACGTCACAGTCCTCCTCCCGCCCCTCCGGCTGCTGGAGGGACCGCCTTGTCCAGCAACAGCAGCAGAGGTACTCCGCAGCTGCAGCAGTGATTTCATGCTCCGCTCCTCCGCCGGCCCCCTCCACCAGGTAACTGATCCTTGAGGGGAATGTATGTGTTTTTTGATTATATATGTTTTGATATAAAACAGAAACACCTCTGAAAGTAAAGTTTTCATCTGAGACTGTCAGATCAGCTGATCTTACAGCTGCCTCTCTTCACACATTCCCCACACAGAACGAGTCAGTAACCTCTAAACAGCGTTTTAAATGGCACGGCAGTTCAATAAATATCACAAAACACTCGTCTGCCACGTCAGCTAAAATTATGTTTTTTCAGCAGACCGAGTCCGATAAAATCTCTCATTTTCAGCCAGAGCCCATTTTTAATTTCTGCTGTTTTCTGCCCACTCACAGCGCAGCGGGAGTAAACGTGTTTCTCCATGACAGCTGCAGCCTCCACCAAAACGGCGTCTCACTCAGAAAGCGCTCACGCCTCCTCTCAGTGCGCGCCGGCTCACCTCAGCTCTAATGTGAGACCGCAGCCTGGGCTCAGCACAGAGGCACACATACAGCCCTTGTTTCTGTCGGAGCCCCCCTTGGGTTCCCCCCGGAGAATCTCCGGAGCGAGTGATGGCAGTAAGGCTTTTTTGTCTGGTTGACATTCATGAGAAACATGACAACACAAATGCGTGCCCACTCTCCGAGCGTTACGCAGAGTGGCAGCGAGTGCGTTTCCTGGACAGATGGACGGACCGTCTGATCAGTAGGGGTTACACGCTGCAGTTCGCAGCTCAACCCCCACCGTTCAGTGGGATTATAGAGACGGTTCTGTCTTCTCCAGAACAGAGCTCGTCTCTCCAGTCAGAAGTTCAGGAATTTCTGACGAAAAACGTGATTTCCAGAGTTCCCAACGGAGAGGAAAATATGTTTTTTTTCCCTCCCACTACTTCCTGGTTCTGATTTAAAAAAAACGGAGGGATGAGACCCATTCTCGACCTGTTCATGTTCAGCAGTTCCATCATGGGGAGACAATTCCACATGCTGACAAACAGCTGTTGGAGAACTTCACAAGAAGTCTCCATAGATCTGAAGAGCGCATATTTTCACATTTCCATCATTCTGAAACACCCCACGCACGTTCTCGAAATGCGTGTACACGGCTCTGCAGTCGTTACACATGGCAGGAATGAGAATTCTTTTTATCTGGACGATCTGCTCTTATTAGCTCAGTCCAGTAAGAAAGCAGTCGCACAGACCAAAATGCTAGTGCTACACCTGCTAAACCTGGGGTTTTCTATAAACTGGGAAAAAGTTCTGTTCATCCGTCCCAGATGATTGTTTATCTGGAAATGGAGCTAAACTCAACTGCAATGAGAGCCTGTTTATCTCAGCTGAGAGCCGAAGCTCTATCAGCTCAGCTCCGCTTTGTCAAACCCAGCCCTGCCGTGTCAAACCCTGCAGCACAGTGACAGTCTGCCTGTCATGCGATGCCTGGGACAATGTCAGTGGCCCACATCGTGGTTCCGTTGGGCCTATGTCACATGCAGACGCGGATGTACCATTAAGGCAAAAGAGGCGGGTGCCTGGGGCCCCCAATCAGCATGGGCCCCGCCCTGCCCCGGCCAGTCACCTACATCCCTAACATTGCTCCTGCTTATTAATGTACGTTTAACATAAAAATAATTATAGTTGCGATGAAAACGATCATTAAAAACGCAATACAATATAAGGTTGATTTCAACTCCCCCCTACTAAAATGGACTATTCCATCATGACATCACCCAAAAATCCAGGAAGTGCTGTATGCTTGAGCGGGAAGCGGAAGACAGAGAAGAAAAAAGATGAAGCGAAGGTACGAAAGCGGAGCGGAAAAACGGAAAAAGC